GGCATCAGGGTACATCTAAGCAAGGCATGGGATTAGAGAGGAGGATTTAGTGATGCTAGCTAAAAGGAAATGCTTCTTGGGCTATAATGTTTTTGTTAAGAAGGTTCGAGTCATCATGTTAAACTGCATGATTTGCATTGATTGTGCGTTTTATTACAACACGCGTCTAATAGAATCGTGAGATTCAAACCAAATATGGGTTCAGACCTTATATTATAGGCACCCTAAACTCCAGTTTTCAGCTTAAAGATCTTTGTCTCTATCGAAATCTAAGAAAGCATTGACTTTTCACGCTTGGATTGAAAGCGGACATAGCATGTATTGGTTTTCTGGTGAATGTGTTTCTTTTTTATTTTTTAGTTCATGAAATTTGCTGTTATAAAATGCTCTTCTTAGTATGTGTAGTTTGGTGATTCTGTGACATGCTTATGTTCAGGTCCCTAGTGAAGGAAATTTATCAACGGAAAAGAGAAAGGCTGAAGATGATATAGAGTCAGCAGAGAAGAGGAAAAGGAAGAAGAACAAGTGTCCTACTCCTCGTCCAGCATGCTCATGGGTGCATTTTAGGTACAATCACTCATTTACAAGGATTTCCTGGGTGTCTATATAATTGTCTTGGGTTTATGATTAATTGTTGAATTCCTTGTCCAGCTGCTTGCTCATGTTTAATTCAATGTTACAGTCGGGAGTTTATCAAGGAGTACAGCGCTTCCCATCCTGAATCATGTGGTCTGAAAGCTGTGAGCCTCCTTGTTTCCCAAGCAAAATTGGTAGACAATTGCTAATAATGTAATTTCAAAGGCAACACTAGACATGGTGGCTTTTTCAATTGCAGGCAACAAAGGCAGCATCAGATGCCTGGAAGTCAATGAGGGTGGAGGAGAAAGCAAAATATACAAAGCAAGCTCGTGAATTGTGGGATAATTACTTGAGCACTGCTCCTGCTCGTATCCCCAGGCCAAGGAAACAGGTTCAGACCTATACTTGGCTTGCAATATTTATGCATATTTTATGCCACATAAATCTTACAGCTAATGAATACAGACCAAACTAGTTACGAGATGCTCTCCAGGCCGTTTGTTTAATGTGCTTCAACGGCTCTCACCAGAACAAAATGCTGCAGTGAAAAGCATGGGATTTGGCAGTCTTCTTGGCCTTAGATGTCGGACCCTGCGCCGCAGCTTGTGCCTTTGGCTATTGGAGAGGTTCAACACTGCAGGATGCAGCTTGGAGATTTGTGGCGTGTGCATTCCTTTATCCCCAAGAGATGTGGAGATTGTGTTGGGATTAGCAGCTAGCGGGAAAGATGTGATCAACTCAGGGCCTGATGACTTAATTGTCGACTTACGTCGCAGCTATAATGCTACAAATCATGGAATTTCAGTGCGTCTTCTAGAAGAGAGGTTGACAGCTCCAGAAGCTGGAGAGGATTTCAAGAGATCATTTGTCCTCTATGCATTGGGAACTCTTTTATCCCCAACAGCAAGACTGGATGTTAGCCCTTCATTTCTCCATTTCCTGACAAATATGGATGCTGTCCATCAATATAATTGGGGAAAATTCTTGCTTGATCGTCTAGTACGGGAAGTATCTCGCTTTCACCAAGGAAAGCAACGCGCGGTTGGTGGCTGTCTTTTGTTTCTCCAGGTGAATTTATATTATTTCAAGCTTCCACTTGTGTTCTAAGTTTCATATACATCACAACTTACCCCTGAAGTTTACACTTTTCAGCTCTTTTACTATGAGAGCATCTCTGTTGAGGGATCCCACTCGTCAAATTCTTCTGTTGTTCCTTGTTTGTCATCATGGGGTGAGGAAGAGATTTCTGAAAGAGAAAAACGGCAAAGAGAGCTTGGTGGTTATGGCTTTGGAGAGGTAATTGATATTTGTAACTTGTGCTCCTATGAAATTGATAGGAATTTGTCTAGCTTGTCGCTCCTGTGCAGGTAATTTGCAAGGATAGGTGCACTGGCTTGGAGTTTTCAGAGTCCAGAGGCCAACTAGATAGTTCATCAGAAGGAAAAATTAGCAGTGGGGTTAATCATGATTCTGTTTTTGAGCAGCAAGCTAACCAGGTAATTATTTTATGGCACACTATGATAATACTAGTATTCATCGTATTGAATGACAGTTTTACTATAATTGGTGATTCTGTCTTCTAAATGTTGGGTTAGTTGAAAAGTCAATGGTGTGGATGATCTGAATGGCATGTAATGCTGATCCTGCTGGTTGAGAATGCTAGACTTGCACTTTTATGACTCGAACATACCTGTAAAGAACTTGTGAAAGAAGGTGTGGACAGTTTAATGCAGGATGCTTACTTATGATCTCTTTTGCAGGCTGGCAAAGTAATAGACGGGAATACTTGTGTGGAAGGGGTACTCAATCTCTTTCCTCCATACATTCTTAATGTTGCTTTGTTGCTTCTGTCCTGTGTCTATTCTTCTCACCAGCCTGTCTCTTGGCGGTTGCGAGCAGGATGTATGTTGCTACCTTGTATTAGCATGATAGCATTCCCCAAAATAGGGAATGCTTGTAGGTTGAACCCTAAACGTGGCCCTCCAATAAACATGGCTGCAACATATGATGATCTTGTTGCCAATTGTTTGATTTTGCATTTGATGGGTTACAGCTTTTGTTTGTAGTGCTCAGTCCCCTGGGTACCATGAAGTCTATGATACCAACTTTGATGCAAGAACAATGTTTAAAAATTAAGCATGTGATCAAGCTAGAATCAAGTTGTATGTGTGTTTGCCAGGTTTGAACTCAACACGGTATTTATAGCTTATTATTTGTTGTATTCACCAGAAAGAGTAGGGAGAACATTGGAAAACTATGATTACAATGAACTGGGATTTGTTTTAAGGTTTGAACCTAGAATTCAATGTTTTGAGTGTTTAGCATATGTGAAGGTGCAGACAAATACACCTTTCATGGTCATTTAACTTTGTGGATATGTTTCTGCAGACAAATGTCCCATGCCTTCTGACAAGTAATGATGTATTGTGCGGGAACATGGAGGTGGGTGCTGAATCAGCTTCAACAATATGCCAAAACAAAGAATATGACTGCAATGGAACGCTGAATTGCATAGATGATGTTATCCCTGAAGAAACATGCATCTTTTCACCCCATGCGTGCCCTCTTCTAGACTGTAACTTTACTGGCTCATCTGAACAGTTGTCACTACACTTCAGCAGTAAACATTGGGACTGTGGAAGGCGTTTTAGGTACAACATTCCTTTATCTGTCTCATTAGGGGTGAACGAACAATTCCTTGTTCTCCAAGCAGAGGAAGATGGTGTTCTTTTTCTACTCGGCAAGGGCATTGAGAGCTTAGGGAATACAGTCATCGTAACCTGTGTTGGACCAAGCTCATCGCAGGACAGGTTCTTATATGATGTCGTGGCAAGTAGAGGTGTAAGCTCTCTCAGATTGAAATCATTAACCGAGTGTTTTCCTGGGAGGGTGGAAGGCTTACCTCCTGTAGATTTTCTTCTGATTCCATTCCCTTTCCTTGGTCCTTCTGGGCAGCTTGACTTGGAGGTTTGTATATGGAGTTCAACCGAGCAAGGTGCAGATTGCACTTAATTTCTTTTGCAAACATTCTTGATCATCATATTTGTAATGGTCTGAGAACATTGTATTTCTTGGTTCTAAAATCAATCGAAGAGTTGTAGAGTTATTTCCATAATTTTGCCCAAAGATTACGTCGTCCCCTGTTCTCTCCATAGGCATTTCAATCAAGTCTTTAAGAATGCCGAACTTTCCAGAAGATCACGTTCCATCAAATCCAGTCCAACGTCCGGTTGATTTTGTATAGCAAACATTTCAACAAATCATCATGGCCTGTCGTATTGCCAAGGGTCTGTTGTAGACGTGTGATCCAAGATCAACATAAAGATTCAAGAAGAGGATGAGCCTCTGTTGATGAATTTGTACGTGTCGTCTTGCCAAGGGTTTTTATAGGATTATGATCGATTTTCATTGTTTTACAATACTTCCTACATGGAGAAGGAAAAAAAAACTTATTTTTGTGGATATAAAGATTATGCTGTAACAGATTAAAAAACAAATTCTTATTTAATTTGATAATAAAGTAGGACTCGGTTTGATAACATCAATTAAAACACTAATCTTTCATTTTTTTTGTCACTAAAAACTTAATCCGGATCATATTTCAGGTTCTAGATTTCTTGAATCAATTTACCAGATCAATCCGGATCAAATAACTACTGTTTAACAAGTGTATAGAAGCCCGGGGTTGCCATGATGCATGTTTTAACGTTGGTATAATGTTGATGACCGTTACTACTGTTCAAGACTTCCCTTTAGAAAGAAACCTTTGTCTAAGATTGGGTACTGTAGACTGCAACAAGTGAACAAGGAATCTGATTCCAGTTCCTGATTAAGGGCAATTTTCCCTTCGGACATTAATCCATTTCAGGACAATCGAACAGTGGACATTGATATGGTCCCTGTGTAAGGAGTCTGCAAATTGGACAGACTGGTGATTTCTGCATCTACATTTCTCCATCAAATGCACAGATGTGTCCACATTTGACACCGTCTTCATGAAGCCTGTGCGTCTCCCTTCATGATTTGAAATCACAAGTGCACAGAACAATCGTATACTTGATCCAAATTTAATTTTTAATGTATCACGTGTCTAGTTTAAAATAAAAATAAAAAATTGAAATTGAAATATTTTTTCTTTTATGAGGAAAAAAATGTCTTTTTTATTTTTAATGGATGTTTTATCACTTTCTGAATATATATTATTTTTCAGAAGTTAAATCCATCTGAGAGTTAAAAAAAACACGCCAGTAAATTTAGTTATGAAAAACATTTTTGGTTATTTTCTTCTCCTAACTAATTGGTTTGGATCTCGTGACCATATGCAACAATGCCAGCAGCAGATGGTGTACTTCCTCGAGAGAGAGAGAGCAGGTGCCCAACTTTATGAGCCTAGAAACCAGTGGCATGCAGATTCTGCCAGCAAAAATGTCAATTTTATGAGCCTAGTCTGCTTCACACAGATTTCCGCCTCTTTTATTTTGTTGGGGGACTTGTAGAAGTCTACACACAAGGATTTTGTTCTCTCTCTGCATAAAACCCTTTATAAGTGGCCTCGTATAGAGGAGAAAGGTAAACTCCTTAGAAACTGCAGAACGATAGTGAGAATCTACTGATACATTTATTTTCTCTTCTTTGTCAAGGACTCTCTGAAAGTTGAAAATGTTAAGAAATGGCCATGATCAGCTCCTAAAGGTTGAGGTCTGTCTACACTAGCAGCTTTCCCTCTACTTTTGAGTCTGACACACTTTGTAGTTCTCCTTCATGTGTTTACTTCTGCCTTTACCTGCCACTAAATTTGCTTCCTTTAACCTGGTTTTGTCTTCCTTTTTTCTTTTTTAACGGTGACAGACACATTATCTCAAAGTGCACATCAACTGTGAAGGGTGCAAGCAGAAAGTGAGAAAACTTCTTAACAAAATTGATGGTAAGAGTACTTTTAGTTTTGCCTTTTCACTTGTCATCAACATGTGTATTTAGTTCCAGTTTCTTTTCAACTTTTATTGCAGTAAGTTTTATGATTACAGCAAATAACTTTACCAACAAATCTCTTGGCAAAAGGTAATGCTTATGTACAATGATTCTTTCAATGTTGTGTGATCTTTTTCACAGTGTTTTAGCATGTGATTCTTTGAAGTAAAACCTGGTAACCGTTATCTTATTCTGGCTTTGAGTAAAGATCTATGCGAAGATTTTCTCTTCTTCTGGGCACTAGAGTTTCCAATGGACTAAAAGTATTTTGTCTTGTGTTCAGGTGTTTACTCAGTGAACATAAAGACGGAGCACCAGCTAGTCATAGTTTCAGGCAGGGTAGATTCTGCTACTTTAATCAAGAAATTGGTCAGGTCTGGTAAACGTGCAGAGCTATTGTCTCTGCGTACCAAGAACAAATGGAATCAAGAACTCAACGCAAACCAACTGCAATTTCTAGCCAATGACTTCAGTAACCCTCAAAACCAATTCATGTATCCAGCATCCTTTGACAATGAGACTGATAATACGAGGAGCTATGGAGATTTTTTAAACCAGAATGTAGAATTGAAAGCCATGAATTTGGGGAGAGGTCAGGATTTGATGGCAGCCACAAGAATGGGAAACTTTTACATGGATGAAGATAATTTTGCTGGTAGTGGCAGATCAAGGGATGATTTTGCATGCATGATGGGTCACGCAGATTATCAAGGCAGTGGTATTTGTTTTGCTGGATTAGGAGGCCATGAATTTAATGGGATACCAACTTATGAACAGACGTATCGACCATCCATGATCATGACCAACAAGCAGCAAAGGTACCACAACAATCATCCAGCTACAGAAATGCATAATATTTACATGCAAGAACCGCATACGGGCAACAATATGATGACAAATGACAATTTCATGTACCAACCTTACATGATAGATTGGTAAGGCCACCTACCAACCTTACATAATATTTACATGATAGATTTTCTCTTCAACATATCCTCCCTATACTGACTACCACCTTTTCCATGCAATGCCATATCCTTGCTACTAACCATACAAGTACTTATCTAGCTGACCTAGAGAAACATCCTGGTTCTTTTGAAAAGGCGGGGGCATAGAAGAGGTAGGGTTTATGTTATGATAAGAATCTATTTTAAATATGTAATGCTTTTATTAACATATGGTATGAGATTGCTTTCATCTTTTCTACTAGAACTTTTTCCCTTTGAAGAAATAGTTTGCAGGTTTACTTCCCTTTGTTACTGGCTGTGCACTGCTGCTCCTTGGTCCTTGTTGGTCGGAGTTTCAATGTTTTCCCTTTTTCTTTGTATTGTTGGTTATATATGGGAGAAATTTGCAAAGATACTGGGCCAAAGGATTAATGGGGGTATTTGAAAGGTTTTAATAGTTTTTTTTCCTCAGAAAAACATCAAAATAATATTTTTTGTTTTTAAAAAATTATTTTTGATATAAATAACAATATAAAAACATAAAAATAATTTTAAATAAAAATAAATATTTTTTCATGAAACAGCATCAGTAATAATGGTTGCAACCCCAACCCACCCCCGTCCGCAGCTTAATGAAAAGGCATCCATAAGAACTTAATTTCCAGACTACAAAGGTTATCTTGGTTTAATTCCGAAACAAAATCAGACAAATTTGGTTGGTAATGCCTTCTTCTATGGTAATCAATACCAGGCAAAGAACTGATTCTCAAACAAATTAAGCTAGAGTGAATCAGCGGAAACGAGCTGCGATTTAGAAGCATGTATCAATGATTCTTTTTCATACTCAAGAATATACATTAAATAAACTAGAAACCAAAAGGAAGGAGAGAGTTTCACGTGACTTTTTAGAAATTTTTTTTTTTTATAAACTGGGAAATGGTAAGTCAAGCTAAAAACACAAGAAAGCATCTAAAAACAAATTGGATAGGAGAACAGTAATGAAGCTTAAGGCAAATAAGAAATCATACAACCATGAATGGTTTAAAACATTTGTATAATTTTGCACTGACTTTCAGGACAAGGAAAGTATAGTGAGATCTAGACATAAGAAAAAGAGTTTCCAAATTCAAACATGTACAGGTAAGTTATCTCACTCTCACAGTTGAATAAAGGAAACTGCAACTTAACGCCTCTGCGCTTTTCTTCGTCTTGACTGTGCCTTCTGCCATTTCTTTCTTGGAACAAGTGTGCTCTTTGGTTTCAACTTTAACTCCGGTGAGAACTTGAAATTTGGATCTCTCATACGTGCTTGTATATCCTTGAAAAACTGCATATTCAATTTCTTAGGCCCTCCCTGACGAAGCTCCTCATACTCTGGTCCAGAAACAATATTTTCAAATGCTCCGATTAGGATGTCTATATCACTCATGACTTCCCACACATTGGTGTAACGCCCATCTGGCCCTTTCTTTAATTTCTTCAAGGCATTTTCAACTGCAAGTTTCCTAGCTTGCTTCCCAGGGGACAACTCTGGTTCATTTTCCGCATTCAACAGTTCCGAGATCGTCCGATACTTGGGTTTTTCCTCAAACTCAAACAAGTTATCTAAATACCTATCGCTGGCCTCATTGGGGTGTGCTTCTGTAGGAATATCATCCTCATCATCACATTCATCACCGGTCCACAAAGTCTTCTCCTCGTCACTCCCAGACCATACACTTCTTAACTCATCACTGTCATCAGCATCGATAAGGTCTGAGTGCTCCTTCGCCTGCTGCCTTACCTTCTGAATATCTTTTTCAAGTCGATTTCTACCTTTATCAGAACTGTTCTCATCATCACTTTCATCTTCACTTCCTGTCCATAGACAAGAATCTTCATCCATCTCTTTTTTCCACGCTTCCCGGAATCCCTCGTCCCCAGGCTTTTGACTGCCAAAAAGATCATAATGCCTATCCCTATTGCGAGCATATGATCTGATAACTGCAAAAAATCCAATATAATGTCATGTAACATATTCAATGACCAACAGCAGAGACTAATTGCAATTGTGAATAACAGTAATTGCCTCAATGCTAATATTGCAGGTTCACTGTTGAACAAAATACTATCTACTTAAAACACTTCTATCCTCTTGAGCACTGTGATACTATTTCATAGAAAAATAATATAACCAAGCCATGTCCTTCAAAAAAAAAAAGAGAAAGAAAGAAAGAAACCTATTCCATTATTATCACCATCTCTTCTTCCAGCTTCCTAACAATCAAATCCAGGGAAAGAACAACGTGTTTTAAACAAAGACAAACAAATCCTAAATTCAGAGAAAACCCACCAAAGATTATGTCAAGAAGTGCAGTAACCTTATTCTTCTAGCACAGGACATAAAGACAACAAATCAAATGGGTTCTGTGAGGACTTTCTACAAATACATAGAATGCATAACCAATACTTCCATGAACATCAACAACACAACTCTTTAATGATCTTTCACATACAATTAACTTTTGAGATTCAATTGACAGAAACTGAAACTGAAAACCAAAAACAAATAAAAGAGAGGGAAATGAAGGTTTATAAACATGCAGAAGCTAACCTTGGAAACTTGGAGAAAACCCATGACTATAGCTGTGACTTATTGAATAATAACTTGAAGTAACAGAGTTAGAAAGAGCTTCCATTCTGCAAGAGAAAGGGAAAATGGGGTTTTTAGACTTTAATATTAATATCAAATTCTTCAAAAACTATTGAGCATAAAACACCTTTTCATAAGTGGGTGTGTGTTTTTAGAAAGAAGAAAGTGAGTTACCTTAGAGATGTTTGTGGTAGAAAATGGGGTTTAGGGCTCCTAAAGGAAAAATGAAGGGAGGAAAGGCGGGAAGAGAGTCTTTTAGCCATTTATCTCCTGTGTAGACTAAGTTTCAGAGTCATCTACTTTGCTCTTTTCCTGCTACTGAAAAATGAGAGCTTTGAAGCTGGCAGTAGACATGGCAATCAGACCGGGTTGGGTTGTCTCGGGTTCGTGTCAATTCACATCTCTAATTTGTAAGGAACGGGTTTGGATCGACCCTCATATTTGAAAGTATCTTTAATAAGGAAAATTTCAATAATATTTAGATAAGTTATATTTCATTGAGCTTTAATTTGATTTCAACTCTAATAGTTAATTTATCCCCCAAAAAAAATTAATCGTGTTATTTTCAAATTAATAATTTTTATTTATTTTTTATAAATGGTAAAAAATTTTAATTGATTTCAATTTATTTTTAATCTATAGTTTTAAAATTTAATTTTAAATTAACTCGGGCTAAATTCTAAATTTCAAAGAAAAAATTAATAATGATTAACTTAATTAACAAAAAAAAAAGATTTATAATCTTTTATAGATGTAATAAACTAATTGATAAACTACAGGCCTAAATATATCTAAGCATGATGAAATCAACCTTTTCAGCTCTTCTTATATTATTCCACAAGCTCAAATATAATTGCAATTCTCACCAGTCCACTCGTGTATAGATTAAGTATAGATTAAAACATGTGGGTTTTTATTATAACTAAAATTATTATTTATTCTCTTATAAAGCAATGATTGTTTTTAAATTTTTATTCTTATTCTTATTTTTTATTTGTATAATTGTGCTTTATTAGCCTAAATTAGCACCAATTATATTTTTTAAAGTGAGAATTAAATTAAAAAATAAAGAACTAAAATGAAAAACACGAGTAATATAAATGTTAATTTTTAAATTTATTTAAAAAGTACATTTAAGTTTCTCATTTTTTTAGTTATTAGATGATTAATCCCTCAAATTCTAGAAAAAATAATTTTAATATCAAATTTTATTTTTATTATTTTTTAATTTTTTTAAGTAAAAAAAGAGAAAAGAGATGACCAGATTATAATGTAGAGAGTAAAAATTATTGTTGTGATAATTTTAATCACCAAAATATTATATTTTTAAATAGTTTTATATGATAAAAAGAGTTTAATTTAAATGCTTTCTTACTTTAAAAATGTCTAAAAACAATATTGAAAATACTTTAAAAATAAGCAAAGATAATTATTTCAAACAAAGATAGATTTTGCCAAAACAAATCTCAACAACAATTACAGCAGTGATTTATATTTTATTATTGAATATTTATCTTTAATTGTAAGTAGAAAATCAAAATTCTAAATTAAATAAGAAAAACAAGATGAAATCTAAAATTAAACTGGGAATTTAAAAATAAAAGAGAAAATAATGAAATCAGCTTAAATGGCATCTTTCAAGCATAATTTAAAACCAAGTATATAATATATGGTACAAAATTAAGAGTAGAGAGACAAATACAAGCCTTTAACATATGTTTTGTCCAGCCACCAAATCTCTCCGGCCAACGATGATGTTTAATATCTTGAACTTCCTTTGCCTAAAGATCCTGGATCTCCTGATTCGAAAGGAGTGATGGGATTGGAATTTGATTTCTCCCATGGATCATCAAGGCTATTCCTGAAGATCCTTTTATTTATAGCAGCCAGATAAAATGTTGCGCATAAACCAAGTAATCTGTCACTAGTTTTTGTCTAGCCATGCATCAAACTCTGCAGAAATTAAGGTGCACAGCGGTATCCAACTTTAGCAACTGGCAAATTTACTATGCTGATGATGCTCGCATTTGAATTTTTCTGGTTTCTTTGGTAACTTACAGACACTGTACACATCCTTGTTTTTATCTTCAAAAACCCAACACAGTTCGATTTGCTGTAAGAAAAAATGCGTATGCTTAACCAGACCTCCATCTGCAGCTTAACCAGTTCCATTATTTTCCTTGAAAAACATACCTTCCTGGCTTCCTCGCATATCGTTTTCCTAACCCTATTATCTATAGTTTCATTGATGAACATTCCAAGAAATGCATATGCTTCCACGGCTGGCTCCACAAGGTATTGACACTTCTCGTCATGTAAAATGTGCGTGCTCAGAGTAAAAGAAAATTAACCATTTAAGACTTCAAGAACTGACACTTGCTGGAAAATTCATGTTAACTTGTCTTTCTCTACCGACCTTGTTATGTCATGCATGTGGAGTCCAAACCACGTTAAATTCAAAAAATATTGTCCAATTGGCTGATGGGTCATCTCTACTTTAGGATTCAAGAAAATTCAGAGTAAAAACTATTAACAAAAGGCGCGTCCTCCAAGGAAATGAAAAATTAATCATTTAAGACTTTAAAAACTAAGACGACTTGGAAGATTCATGCTAGACTTGTCTTTTTCTATGATATATGGACCTGACCTTGTTAGCTCATGCACATGGAGTTCATATCACGTCGTATTCAGAGAAGACCAATAAAATTAAAAAGCAACAACAACAGTAGTTGAGCAGGAACATCCAGTCATGCTAATTAACCCTCGGACACTCAGGAAGCCACTTCCAAAGCATCATAGTTGTTGTTTCTGTTTGGGAGGCGGACCCAGCTCCTCCGCCACCACTTGTTGTCGACTACAGCAAAAATCCTTTCTTGTTTCTTTATTTTCTTGGTGACGTGGTTTGGGCTCTGTTTCAAAACAAAACATCCATGGCATAGCAAGGTTGAGGTCATCATATATGAGCATGAATCTTTTACGAAGTTTCGGTTCTTCTACTCAGCTATTGCAAGCAAGCAAACCCGTGAATACTGCGAGAGAAACCTTTATAGAAATATATCTCTACTGATTTTTTAAAAATTTTTATTTAAAATTATATCAAAATAAAATATTTTTATTTTTTAAAAAATATTTTTAAAATTAACATAACAAAATAATTTAAAAATATCTAAAAAATATTAATTTGAAGTAAAAATATTTAAAATATTTTTAAAACATAATAACAAATAAAATTCTAATAAAAAAAAATACTTTACCGGCCAAATCCAATCCAAAGCCACTTCTACACACACTATCATAAACTAAAAAAACTTATTGACCCTGGTATCTGTGTAATGCTACTCTCAATACCATGGACCACAAATCGAACAATTATACAACCATAACAGAGTTCAAAGGTATAATTATTAAATTTGGTTTGGAAATTGACCGGTTAAAGGATCAGATCTTGAATCATGGGTTAACCTTAATCAAATCTGGTAAAGTTAAAAAAATATTTAAAATTTTAATATTTTATATAAAAAATTAAAAAATAATTTATATGTATATAAATTAAAAAATTATTTTAAAATATTTTTTATCTCGTATTAAAAAAATATCATTTTTTTCTTTTATATATATATATACGGTTCAAATTTTATATTAAAAAAATAAAATATTTTATTAATATTTATATAGTTAATTTTAATATGGATTAATAACCAACAAAAAAAAATCTTATACCTTGTTTTTATATTTCAAAGGTACTTTTAAAAAAATTTAATATTTTTTTATTTTTTCTTTACTTTGAATTAATTTTTTTTAGTGTTTTCATATTATTTTAATATATTAATATTAAAAATAATTTTTAAAAAATAAAAATTAATTTTAATATATTTTAAAATAAAAAATACTTTAAAAAAAAATCCAACCTTATTAACTAGAAAAAAAACGTATTTAAAAAAAAAATCTCTTCTAATTTCTGGTGGATCATCCGAAATCTAGATTACCTTAACCGAACAAATCATTTTTTTCAAGTTAATTATAAGCTCAAGTTTTAAATAAAACAAGCCCGATCAAAGCTATGGCTGATCTGATAACTGTGGTCAAAGATGGAGGCTGGGGGGGCCACCCACCCAGCTTCTTCTTTGCTCGGAAAACGTACTACCCCTTTTGCTAGAAGACGTACAAACCAAGTAATTTAAATTTCCCAAGGACATATTGTATCTTGTGGGCGACTAAGAGTATCCGACAAGACGTGGAAATGAAAGAGACAGAGACATTAAGCGGGAAATTTCTAATATATAATCAACTTAATCAGCAATCTTGCCGAAAAAATTACTGCTCATGTGCCCTTTACCGATGCTATATAAACCTGTTACTACTTGGGAGATTGAGGAACAAATCAACACGTTTCATTCTCTTAACAATTCTCCTTCTCATCATTTTCAATTTATTTCTCAATGATGACTGGAGAAATATGGACTCAACTGAGCTCGGCCATTACTGGCCTAGTGCTTGCGTGGGTCATGTTTGAGCAATATTTACCTTATCAACTTCGTGGCTATCTTGAAAAATATAGTCAGAAGTTAATGAGCTATGTGTATCCTTACATCCAAGTTACCTTTCATGAATTCACAAGTGAACGTCTCAAGCGCAGCGAGGCCTTTTCTGCCATTCAGAGTTATCTTGGCTCCAATTCTACCAAGACAGCTAAGAGACTCAAGGCTGATGTTGTCAGAAACAACGAACCCTTAGTCCTCACCATGGACGATTACGAAGAAGTTACCGATGTTTTTAATGGGGTTAAGGTCTGGTGGTCTTCGAGTAAAACCGTCCCGAAAACACAATCTATTTCTTTTTTTCCTGCGGCCGATGAGAGGAGGCATTACAGGCTCACGTTCCACAAAAGTCATCGAGATGTCATCACCGAGAAATATTTAGAACATGTTTTGAAAGAAGGGAAGTCGATTGCTGTGAAGAACCGGCAGAGAAAGCTCTTCACCAACAATCCTAGTGAGAATTGGTATGGGTGGAAATCTACCAAGTGGAGTCATGTGGCTTTTGAGCACCCCGCTACATTTGATACTCTGGCAATGGAAACAAAGAAGAAGGAAGAGATTAAGAAAGACCTTACCAAATTCAGTAAAGGAAAAGACTACTATGCGAGGATCGGCAAGGCCTGGAAGCGTGGCTATCTCCTGTATGGCCCTCCAGGAACTGGCAAATCCACCATGATTTCTGCTATGGCTAATTTGTTGGATTATGATATTTATGATCTTGAGTTGACCACAGTTAAGGACAACAGCGAGCTTAGGAAGCTATTGATCGAAACCACCGGAAAATCTATCATTGTGATTGAGGATATTGATTGCTCACTTGATCTTACAGGACAGAGGAAGAAAGCGAAGGAGAAAGATGATGACGACCAGTCAGACAATGAGAAGGATCCAGTTTCTAAGAAGAAAAAGGAGGCTGAAGAAGAAAGAAAAAGCGGCAGCAAGGTTACTTTATCTGGACTTTTGAATTTCATTGATGGACTCTGGTCAGCTTGTGGAGGAGAAAGAATTATAGTGTTCACTACCAATTATGTGGACAAACTGGATCCTGCTTTAATAAGGAGAGGAAGGATGGACAAGCATATAGAGTTGTCATATTGCTGCTTTGAAGCGTTCAAGGTGCTAGCCAAGAACTATTTAGAACTCGAATGGCATGAAATGTTCGGAAAAATTGAGGAGCTGTTGGGGGAGACAAAGATGACCCCAGCTGATGTTGCTGAGAATTTGATGCCCGGGTCAGATGAAGAAGACGAGAAGGATTGTTTGAAGCGATTGATTGAAGCTCTTGAGACTGCAAAGGAGGAAGCAAGGAAAAAAACTGAAGAAGAAGCGGTGTCAAAGGCTGAGAAAGCAGACAAAGAGGGTGGCGAAACATCTTCTCAAGTAGCAAAGGAGAATGGTGAAATATCAGCAAAAGAAGCGAAAGAGAATGGTGTAATCGCTGGAGATTAGGGTGGAACAGTTTCATCACACTGAACACCGTTAGGCATTTACGATTGTTAAGTAACTTGGAACACAGCGCTGTCAAAATAATAGCTGAACAAGAACAAATTACATTAATCCTTTGATTTCTGTTGTTCCTACTCTTTGACAATCCGAACTCCCTTGACAATCCTAGCCTTGATTTCTAGGCTGCTAGCAGATTTCAAGGCTTTGAACAACAAATTTAATAAATACTACTGTATTTCATCTTCTACAATAGAAACAAACATAGAGATCAAGCAGAAACCCTAACCCTAACCCTGGATACACATACCTGAAGCATAATTAAGAAACAAATCCCAAATCAAAAACATCATTAAGTACATGGATAATCAAGAACTCGTGAACTTAGTGACAGCCTTAGTCCCTTCTGAAACAGCATGCTTAGCCAACTCTCCGGGCAAAACCAACCTGACAGCAGTCTGGATTTCCCTCGAGGTAATTGTGGGCTTCTTGTTATACCTAGCAAGTCGTGAGGATTCCTGCGCAAGCTTCTCGAAAATATCATTAATAAAGGAATTCATTATGCCCATGGCCTTGCTTGAGATCCCTATATCTGGATGAACTTGCTTCAGCACCTTAAAGATGTAGATCTTGTATGTCTCTGTGCTCTTCTTCACCCTCTTTTTCTTCTTCTCTCCGGCTGCTGCTCCTCCTTCCTTTGGGAGCTTCTTCCCTGCCTTCGGCTTCTTCTCTGCTGGGGCTTTCTCTGCCACCGTTTTCTTCTCTTCGGCCGGCTTCTTCTCCGCCGGTTTCTTCTCTGCTTTTGGTGCCATTTTCAGAGATAGTTTTCGATAGATTGCGTTGTGTGTTGGGTTATCTGCTCATTTCTCTTTGTTTCTTTATAGAGAGAGGAGGTGGATTGTGTGATTGGTTACTTCTATTTCACAAGGACTGATGACGTGGATAATTAGTGCCATTGGATTAGGTCTGGGGAACTTTCTTAATCGACGGTCGAAATGTTTAGTGCAGTTGAATGGTCGTCGTTTTCGCGCGGATTGCTGACGTGGAAAAACAAGTCTAATGGAAAATTAATTAAAATTATCTTAGCCATAGCCCGAGAAGAATTATTTATTGGGTACATGTAATTATTTAAATGCATTTCATAGATGATTATTGTATTCACGGGATAATTAATTTGATTAAAAAAATTAAAAATTAATTATTTTAATAAAAATATCAATTAATTAAGAATCAAGTTTTATCATATAATGATTAAATCGTAATTAAAATCATGTTGCAATGAAGGAAGTATTCAAAAATATAGTTATAATTATTTTTTAAAATATTTTTTATTTATAAATATATCAAATAATTTTTTTATTTTTAAAAAATTAATTTTAAATAAAAAAATTTAACTTTTTTTACCCGGAAAAGGTTGCCAGCTTGTGGAATGGGATGGGCAAATCGAGTAGACTTACTGAAGTCCTTTCTTAGACAAAGTGACTGAGGATGTTAACGGGCTTTACAAGGGACGATGGACAGTAAAAGGTGGGAAACATATGAAGCAAGTTATGTGTTCGGTTCCTGGCAGTTTGTCACATTGCTGGCTGCAATTTTTCCTCTGCTCTTGACGACAGAGCAAGTCTTTTGTTCTATCTAAAGGTACAATGGCATGCTTCATATGAGGCCACCTAGAAACTAGCACTGGTTATGGCAATGTTGAGGCCAAATTACAAATTCAAGAAAGTTTTGTGCTTTCTTGAACCATCTGTCCTTTTGAATTTAGATTTTATTATCATACATGTGAATCCCATGCATTTTAAGAGTCACAAATGCAGAAACCTGGATGAACAAAGTGCAGAAGATCGTCAATATAATGGCTGAAAACATTTCCCATGATGCGATTCTCTTGATTTTGAGCATTGCAAGTTTAATATGTGATGGTGAATGAGGTGATCTAGACTGAATCAAATTGTGTGCTAGAGATACATCATCCCCGCACACCAATTTTATCACTGAGATATCATATACATTATTAATAAATTGACAAATACAAATATAAATAATATTGATTTAATGTTTTTATCGGTAAATTACAATGAATTTTAACAATATAATATTCTCATAATATATCTATAAATAAACATTGATAAAAATATCCTCGCGGAGAAATTATAATGGAAAAGAAATGAATTAAAATAAATACATAACATATGATGACGTGCTATTTATACCAACAATATTAATACCATTGGAAAAATTTGTTTGTAAACTCGTTGGTAAACTATTTAATTCTCCTTAATACTGTTTATTATGTCAATTACAAAAGATATCACCAACAGATTAATTTCATTGGTATTTTCTTAGAGCTTTCAAATTGATTTCTTCTCAATTGTACTGTTAAATATTATTTTTTATAAACATATTAAAAAGTCATCGGTTATATTTGAGAAATTTCTAAAAACTTTTTGATTAAATTAAAAACTACAGATGAGATTATCGACACATCGGAAAGTTGTCCGTATATTTGGGAGGTTTTTGAAAATTTTTAATTAAATTTAAATTTTAAATTAAGTATTATAGATAGAATTACCAACGAAATGGTTTAAAATATTAATGATTAATCATCCGTCTATAAAACCATCGATAAAATGCCCTAATAAAAAAACAAGAATCCCTCATTTCATAACAAACACGCATCTTCTTCTCCTTATGTAAAAAACATTAACATCCGTCTTCTTTTTTCTTTTCTCTCCTCAACTTCTTCTCTTCTTTTATCCTTCATGCATAGGTATGCCTTCTCCTCTTTTCTTCTTTTCTCTTCTTAGTTTTTTTTTTTAATTAACACACTTTATAAATTATTATTTTTTATTAGCTTCACTCGTAGTTATATTAAGATAAGATTTTTTTTTTGTATTATATTTGTTTTTTAGTTTATTTTAAAAAAAATTATTCTTAATAATTGTATGAATATTGTTGTAGGATTTTTTTTTCATATGAGATCAATTTTGTCAGATTTTAATTGGATTTTTTTTTCAATTATGTTGTGCAATTTCAATTAAATTATTTTATTTGTTGCTAAATTGTGGATTCTGACATAGGTTTTCTAGGTCAGGTGCAAATTATATTTTAGTTAATTTATTTATTTGTTGTTATTGTTGTTTGTTATTTATTTATTACAAATTTATTTGAGTTAATTTTCTTCTTACTCTTTTTTCAAGCAACTCAGTTACTGGGTATTATATAATGTTGATTTATATTCATTTAATTATTTTATACTTTTATTAAATAGATTTTTCTTAAATTATTTTTAAATAATTACTTATAGTAATAGCAACAGATTAAGTTCAATATCAGTATATTCTAGAGAATTGAAAAAGAATTATCGCAAATATTATTATGCCACTATTTTATCACCGACAAAATTACATATGGTATTTTTATTGGTTGTATAGTAACATTCCCGAGGAAAATACTGATATAATGAAATGGGTAAAAAACATTTAGTGTGTTTTTGTCATTAGTAAATCCATTGGTAATTTTATCATTGACAAAATAAAAATTATTGACGAGAGTTTTACCAACATAGGTTTTTCATTCGTAAGCCTATCAGTAAATTTATTATCGATGAAATGAAAGTATAAATACTAATGAAAAATTATGTCAGTATTTCTTAGAATTCTAGTAGTGATAGTTTTTATTTTCTTTTTATTTTTTCTAAAAAACTCATTACTTACATTAGCTCAACTACATATATAAAGTGATTTAAAGGGTGTTTATTTTTGTGATTACTTATGTTTTTGAAGCAAACCACCAAAAAAAAAACCATTTAATTTATTGTTTGAGGGATCTAGTATAATTTGCGTTTAAAATGCAGGTTACCTGAAAAGTAGTTTCTCTTTTTATGCAATATGTGGAAAGTGAATTAATTCATTCTCTACTATTTATGGTCAATCCAGATCCGGTCCAAATCTAAATGTATTAGACTGGGTCTGATTCAATTAAAAAAAATTATTTTTTTATTTTTAATTATGTTTTATTTAAAAAAATATAATTATTTTTAATAGGATTTTTGCTTGCATAATTATTTAAAAAATAATTATTTTTAAATAGAGAGAGGACCGTCCATCAAGAGGGGATTGCACTTGGATGTGCCATGATGCTCTTGCCTTTCTCTTTGTTTGCTGTATTTTAATGGGGTTTTTGCTTGCAAGCGTGGAGAGGAAATTTACAAGGGGTATTATTTATAGGGATTGTTTTGGAACGATGGTTATTTGGATTTATAGCAGTTGTTATGATTTAAAATGTTTTTTAATCATTTATTAAAATATTTTTTTTTTATTTTTTCAACCGTGTTATCAAATTAAATAATACATAAAATAATATAAAATAAAATTAAAATTTAAAAATTATAACTTCAACCGTGTTATCAAACAAAACATCAAAGTGTGAATATTAGTGTTAGGCATTAAATCCAAAAATGGGTTTCGATCTCACATGGTTTGTGCTTTGGATTTATTTATTTTTTCTTTGTTTTTGTCGACCTTTGTAGTGCTCCTTATCGCGTCTTTTATTTCTCTTGCTGGTTTTGTAAGGCGCATTTCTCTTGTTTTTCCAATAGTTATAAAATATTAGCTTATTTCAGCTGGCCAATCTAATGAAAGCGATGACATGCTCGAATCGAGTTTTACTTTAAATTGATTTTTTTATTAAAACAAAATTTTTTTAGTTTTTGTTAAAAAATTTAAATAGCATCTTTTATTTTTTTAATTATTAATTTTTAGATTAATATGATAAACTTGCAATCCAAATTTTGGATTATGGGTAAATACTTATTTAAGCTTAAATGTTTATTAGTGTAAAAAAAAAACAATTTATCTAGCTACTTCATTGTTCAGTTTTCATAAGAAAACTCACTAGTTTCATTGGTAACCCAGCAATGTATCTCTTTGTAATTTGATAAGAGAAGTTCCAGTTTCAAGCAAACTAATTAACAAAAAGTAATTGAATAAAAAATGGATTCATAATAGATAAGCTCTTTGATTTGTACATCTAGTATCTTAAAAAAATGAAATGTTTTTGGATTTAATTAATTAAAAAAAAGGGAAAGAGAAGATAGGTTTTTATGGTCATGTTGGAGATTGTAGTAAATTTTAAAATGTGTTTTACTTAAAAATATATTAAAAT